ATATATTTTGATATTCTAACCAACATTTCGCTACTGCACATTCAGGTCTTGAGACTGTTGATAAACTGGATGTGCCAGGATGCCGGATTTGAGGTGACACACTCCAGGGTATGGTGACACACCAGCCAAGTATTGACTACTTTTTCTGACTCCACTGTGCTAGCTACTTTTCCCTTCTCCCTCCGTCTCCGCCCACGTCGCTCTTTGCCCTATGCTACCGTCATAAACAGTTCGCCAAATCAGACGATAGTCGTGCGGGAGAAGAGGCATTACTCCGGAGCTAACCTTTTGGCCCAACTCAACCAAATAATTCGTGAAAAAACGCGCTGGCAGTGGTCGCGGCGTTAGTCGCCGCACCCAAGCAAAAGTACCAGCCGTATTTAATGCCTTCAGGTTGATCAGGGTCGAGCGCAAAACGAACCATTTTTCATCAGGATAATGTCGGCGTATTGAGATGAGTCCCTCTTCGTAGCTGCACGTCGAGTCGCACCAGCCATCATCCAACTTGTGCTCACCATGTTGTGGTTCTACGTAAGTGGCGGTGTACTTATACAACAGCAGTAAATCTCTGCAGGAGAGAAAATCTGTCTGTCGGCTGTGCTCGCCCCCTCCGCTCTCTCTCTCTTCATTCCAGCGTCGTTGTTACCATGCTTGTAGCAAAACTTGCCGAATTGAGGAAAAGCCAAGGAAAGCCAACCGCCGTGTCGTACCGCCTTTCCTCGCCAGCTCGGTTGGTGCGTCTTCGGTTTATTCTCCAGACTTAAGGTTGCCAACCAAGCCAGTTTTCATCTGATCGTTGGCTTTACGGAAGAAAAGTAAGAAGAAATGCCTTTGGGGAGAGGGACATTGGGGAACGCCGTCTGTTCCTGCTACTGTTCGTGGGGATGATAGCTTCAACAGAAAATGTAAGGTTTTTCCTAAAATAGGAAAAATAGGACACAGCTGATAAAGCAGTGGACGACGGTTACACACAGTATTGTTCGTTAGGATGGGTTCGTAGGAAAATAATAGGTAAAAGGAGTATGCAGTCGCTTCTGAACAGTAGGACCGTTTCTTTTGGCATTACAGAGTCCGAAGTCAAAATACGAAAGCAAACGGATTAAAATATTAAGTGATGAAAACAAAAACGTATTTCTATAAATTTTAGAAAAGTACCCAACAGCGGATGATGGCTAGGCTTGCTTAATAAGTAATATATCGACTAATATATAGTAGTTAGGCAAAGCTTATCGTTTTCGACCATTGGTCTTAGAACAACTGGAGCCCAAAGTCTGTGGTTTCTCATCAATGGGCTAGGTCAAGTGGACAAGTCATCTTTGAAAAGTTTTTGCAAAAAAGTTGGACATGCTTCTCCATCACCATATACATAGAGTTAAGGGTCACTGACAATAAATTGTACAATCGGTTAAGTTTCTCTGCCGGCTGCCAGTTACTCTATGCTATACTATGGATACACAATCTGTTTACGACTACTAGCTATAGACTAAGTAATACCGATGTCATTTTAGATATCGTTGCCAATTTGTTGCGTCATCTCAACGGTAATCTTTATGATAATGGGTACAGACTCAAAATTAAATTAAGTTACGGCACGGATCGGCTTCCGTGTGCTTCAATTGATCTTAATGCACGAAAACAATGGTTCGACGCTTAACCTAAATCCAGGCTCGTTTCTTAGATTTTCAACGATCTTAAATACATACCGCTTCTCCTGATGGATAACTTTTTAGGGCAACGCTCCGAAAAAACGTCAATTACGTCGAAATATACGATACGAGAAATTTGCCATCAATAATTTCTCTTACTTCATTTTTGCTCGAAATCGATCGAGTCGATTCAAGTCTATAGTGACTGTGATGGCTTCAAGGAGATTCTGAGGTGTCGAAGTGATTCCATCGACATTCTAACAATAATCCCTTCCACAACAATCCCTCTATGCTTATCAACAGAGTGTAAAATACTGGAACATTTACGTGTAATTGTCGCTTTCTTGTGATCGTAACTTCTCTGCGCACCTCACAAAACAGTCGACACGGCCTTTTTGCTAGCACTGGAAGAAACAATGTTAACGCTTTAAAGAAGATTAAGCTACCAGTGAATCCATTGTCTTACATTTGTCCAGCGGGAAAGTGTGACCCTGTGAACAAGGCCCGCCCCTCCGGATCTTTTCTTCGAGTAGAATTTTCCACCTCGTTACCGCTGGATGTCGATCAACGACTTCCTTATAATCAGTATTAGTACATATATTTAGTTTATTTAATAGTAGCGTATTAGTAAGGTGGAGGTATTTGTCAGACAATAACAGTTTGTCCAGTGCCTGATCATGAATAAACTGCAACAGAGCTTTAGTCCAGAACAGCCGTTACAGCAATTCAATAGTAGATTTTTTTAATTCAAAATCTTTATTTCGATATTGCCTAACCCTCAAAAAATATCTGCTGAAAGAATTCCCACCTACTAAATTTTTCAGCTATTGAGAAGATAACGCTTTATCAAATACAAGCTAGCATATGAAATATTACAATTACCCGCGTCATTTGGGTTGGCGATACGGAAAAAAGTAAGGCTAAGAAGCCTTACTTTTTTTCCGTATCGATATTGGACGTTTTTTTTTTCCATTATTTCAGTGTGCGTACATTCTATATACGAAGTTAGTTGTCAATCCGCGATTTTTTCACGTACATAACCTTTCAGGGCAGCGTAGTATTTTCTTTGACACCTACACCCCTTTGTCTTCGGTCAGTTAAATCATATGGCCTATGAACGGTCAGCTCTCCAGGTTTTCGTCGTCATTCGAGCATTTAGGCTCAGCTTTAAGAACTAATAGGCACCTATGTGATCACTTCCCGAGAGCGTACTTCCTCGAACGCTATTGAAAGTATCGACTTCGTAATAATACTGTTAAACCGAGAAAAACTTAGAGGTAGGAACTCGACCACTCCTCAAATAGGTTGCATGCTTGACTTTATATTCGAAATTTATTAACTTGGTAGGTGGACGATTAGCATACATGAAAAAAGTAGGCGCAGGTTAACGCTGATCGAGACCCTCGTTCAGAGCTACTTGAAGCCGCCATATTAGTGCGAGGCGCGGAACATGATTAGTAAATATCACCCATCTGCTTTGCATCAGTCTACTACTTAGCGTTAATCGCTATCCGATCATCAATGTACTTTAGTTTGAGTGGACGATAATTATCCAAGTTCACTTATAATGAGGTGTTAGGCGCATCTGAGCGGTGGCTAAGGTCATTACGTCTATATCGTCCAGAAAAAAAGAAATGACGTTTACGCAATGTTTATGAAGTTTTTGTTGCTTCCCTTGGAAAGTCAGTCAATCCAGTTGAATGTACAGCTATTGTAAATCTGATGCACCTGAGTCGCAAAGGCTGCAATGGGATGAATTAGCCAGCGCGGTTTTTTCGATTATACTTCATTTACCTATGGGCGGATAGTCTATAGAGTAAATCGAATAGGTCGAAGACAAGTGGTTTTAGGCAAAGACTACTCTTGTTCATAACTGATCGAGAATCTGCTTGCCAACCAGGACCGGTACGATCGTGAAAGTTTTAGAGAGAAAATGCTCGTGAAGTTCCGTTTCTACAAAGGATGTTTTTGGTGATAATCCAACCTGTACAAAACGTTTCAATTATTCACCTGATTTACTAGGACCAACTGGCAGCTGAGGAGGATTTTATATTTTGCAACTCAACTCAAATTTCAACTGGTCGCTATTAAATTTCTCATTATACACTTGTCAGTACAAAGGTGGTTTTTGGGCACCAAGCTCAGAAAGCGCTGGTACCAGTCCTTGTCCTTACTATCCCTGATGTCCTTTTTTCACCTTTCACGGCCTGTGCATCTTCCGTTCTATTTATAATTTTCTTGCTATTAGTTTTTTTTCGCCTTCGTCTTCCGAACGAAGCCTTTTGCGTTTTTCCCGAGTGATCCTTTCCAGCCTTTTTCCGCCGTTAACACCACACCGCGCTCTATCGTTTCGTGGCAGCGGGACTCAAACTTGCAGCATCCACTCTGCCGCCTTTCGCGCTGCGTCTCATTCACTGTTTTCGGATTCTCGGCACTTAAGCGGAGTCGAGGGGGCTGTAAAAGCCGAAACCTCTTTGATCTGGGTGCGCTCTCGCCTTCTGAGGCGTCGATGATATATTTACGTGCTGTTCGCTCGGGTCGGCTTGCTCGAGGGCCGTCTGCCCTGCACGCCTAAAGGCTTGCAGGCCAGCAAGTCTTACGTGCAGCCCGCCAACTGAATGGTGGCGTTCTTCTGGCCATAGACCGGTGACCCATAGGCTCACGCTGCAGTCCTGCCGGCCTCCGCACTTTGATCAATGCTGTAACCGATGGCGGCAGCGTCTTCAATGATGGCGATTCGCAAAGGCGGGCTAGAAGCTGATATTACTTAGAACTTGCATTACGCTGGTTCTCATACGGCTGTTGTTTACGTTAGTCGTTATTTGAAATTTGAAAGTCGGTTATTACATCCTTCCGAAAGTATGTGCATAACATAGATCGGAGCACTTAACAACAGCTTACAGAGTCACTTTTCGTTTTGTTATCTATGACGATAATACGATCGACAGAAGACTAGCTCTAGCGATAGTGGATGATTGCAGAGTTCTACAGTATACGCATCCTCACGCGTGTGCACTTCACACATACGTATAGACCTCGAGTCTGTATCAATGCTGACCGTAGACCGTAGGTGTACAGTAGCAAACTACCTAGTACATTCTCGAAGCCAAAAATAGGCAGCCAAATGAAGCTCAAGAAAAGGAATCTACCGTGAGAGACAATAAAAGGCACAGGCCAAAAACAAAGAAGGAAATAGACGCGAAAAAGAAAAAAAACAAAAGCAAGAGAGAGAGAAGAAAAAGAATAGAAAAAAAGGTCCTAGAAGAAGTTGTTTATCGCAGCAGTCGCCGTGAGTAGTAAGCTGTGGGAAAGCATGAGGAAAAGGGATTAGATAGGACACCCGGGAAAGCGAAACGGCTTAGTCTCTAGGCGGATACCATTCGGCTAAGGACGACGAGGCCAAGTTCAGTCCAGCTTCACCCGGCCAGCGGCCTGACGGCGTTGAAGATTTCAGGGCAACGAAGCAACGAGTGTGGTAT